AGAACACGATCGCAGTGTTCAACAGTGTTAAACGTCTGGCTGAGCTACAACTGATTCCACCATAAATAACGTCTGTGTTAGAGATGATCATCAACTACAATTTACCAGTGAAATGTTGCTGTTTTGATCTCGTCGTAAACGATCACGACAAAAGTACTTACCACTAATTTCCTGTTCCTTAAATTATGTTTAGTGTTAGATGTGATTAGGGTTTAGGTTAGTTTTAAAATAAACATGTAAGGCCAATTGTAGATAAAGGAGGGTTTTTCCATGACTCACTGGCTATAGAAGCAAGTGACTGCCATTTAAATGAAAAGAACATTAATTTTCCATTTACAATTACATATTTTGACTTTCAACCAACAATATCTTTGGTGGCAAGGGTGATCCAGTGGTCTGAGCTTCCTATTTGGAGCACTTTCACCCTTCCTTACTTCTTCAAACACAGATGATTGCAACACTTGTTATAGGACCACATACACATTGCTAGTAGCCTACTGGGTTAGACCTCTTTTGCGTTCAGAGCTCCCTTTATTCTTCGTGGTATAGATTAAACAAGGTGCTGATAATGTTTCTCAATATTTTTAGTACATATTCACATTATAGCGTCATGCAGTTGCAGCAGATTAGTCGGCTGCACATCCATGATGTGATTCTTTCGTTTCAGCGCATCCCAAAGGTGCCCTATTGGAATGAGATCTGGTAACTGTGGAGGTCATGTTCAAGAAACTTGTATGAGGTGATGTGTGCTTTGTGACGGCACATTATCCTGCTGGAAATAGCCATTAGATGTTGGGATGGAAATAGTCCACAACAATATTTAGGTGGATTTTGCCTATTCTCTAGTTCAGTGATACAATTGTATGCGTGTAACAGTTTTTATTGCTATTTTGAGACCTTTATGGCCAGGTCACCTTTGTAAACAAAATCTTCAACCGCTTATCCGGGGTCGGGTTGCGGGGGTAGCAGCTCTAGCAGGGGACCCCAAACTTCCCTTTCCCTGGCAACATTAGCCAACTCTGACTGGGGAATCCCGAGGCGTTTCCAGGCCAGTGTGGAGATAATCTCTCCACCTAGTCCTGGGTCTTCCGAGGTCTCCTCCCAGCTGGACGTGCCTGGAACACCTCTCTAGGGAGGCACCCAGGTGGCATTCTTTCTAGATGCTCGAACCACCTCAACTGGCTCCTTTCTATGCAAAGGAGCAGCGGCTCTACTCGGAGTTCCTCTCAATTTAATAAAAGAAAATAACATCACTTAAGAAAATCTTTATTATTTACAGGCCACATTGGAATACAGAAATACAAGTTCATAGAATCAATGGGATGGGTTACAGTGTCAAAGGACAAGCTTATTTAGTTAATGTTCAAATAAAGTAAAAAATAAAACAAATGATATAGAAATATTGGCACACCATTTAAAATGCAAAGAGACTTAAATAAATACTGTACAATTAATATGCCACTGGATAATGGCTCCCTGCCAGCAGGCCCAGTAAGGCCATGCAGGACAGAACACGTTGGCACTTGGAAGCCAACAAGCAAAATGTTATATTGCTGAGCAACAGAAAAGCAACTTTTGTTTTGTTTGAGTAGAGAAGTTACATTTATCTCAATCTCTCTACAGCGTACACACAATGGATAAAACAATTGCTGAGAAAGGGTAATTCCACTCTGAATTTCTTTTTGAACTAGTTTTTTGAGTTAATGAAACTCAACAAAATTATGCAACATATTTGAAATGTAATTAGAAATTAGACCAGTATATTTTGCATATCGGTACCATATCCTTTTGATACAGGATTTTTTAAATAAATTTGTCTGAATTAATTCTACGTCCTTACACTGAAAATGTATTATTGCCAATACACTATCATTATTTGTTTATTCAGAATTTACCCAAGCCCTACTAGCCAATAACATAAAGCATCAACATTAGTCCACAGTAGAAATTGATTTGAAATGGTAACACTGTTTGCTCACCAACACTTGAATGGGGAGCACTTTAAAGCCATTTGACATGCTCAAACCCGAGTGCAACATGCCTTGGCGGGTAACGTACAAATGGTGACGATTTTACAAATGCAGCAAGACGTACGAATGGTGAGGATTTTACAAACGCACCAAGACGTTTTGTATTCAAAATAGTTTGATATCTTTAAATCAACCACTGCTGTAGCGCAATGTAAAAAAAAAAAAGAAACAGTTACCCTCAAACAACCCTGAGCAGTTGTAACTTAGTACCTCATTCCACCATTAATTAACCCATAGTAGTAACTGCCATCAACAAAATGTATGGACCAACAGAGACTTTTGAATAAAAAAATGGAAAGACAGGCTGCGTAACTGAAATTTTCATAAAAGGAGTCAAGGGCACTCAAGTCAAATTAAGTGTTTTCTTAGTAACGCTTGAAATATTACATGTTAGTTTTTATATTGAGAATTGAAAATGTTGCCTTAGTAAAAAGCATGGGTCCCTGAGAAAGACACCAACAAAAGCAATATCCCTCTTTGTGAATTCATGGTCAACATAACTTTCTCATTAAAATATAAATTAAAAAGAACATCAATTCAAAATTAGGCCAATACATGTATATACAAACAGGAAAGACACACCTAAACTTGAACAATACCTAAATCAGTAGCCATAATTCCATTTCTCAAATACACTTTGTACAATTGCAGAATTCTCATGTCCGTTAAGACACATCATAAAAAAATAAATATACTTTTAATTTCATACAAACGATTACACACAGCCACATATACCATGTTTCCCAAAGAATAACCAATGTTCACCTTTTTTCACAATACATAATTCCAGAAAAAGAATCAACAAAATACTAACCTCCCCCAAAATAAACAATTCAATGTATGTTTTACATTTTCACAGAGCTTACAGTGTGTAAATCATGTCAATCCAATAACATTTTGTTGTTGTTGTAGCGATGTCAAACACCTTTCATAAAAACTGTGAAGCTGCTGCCCTCATGTGCACACTAGGTGGCACCAAAGGAACGTAAGTTGATGGAGACCCACCTAAAAAGCACCTTTATATCGTATTGGAGGGATTCTTAAATTAGCTTAATGCTTTAGCTTATTAAATACTGGACGATGTGAAGAAAAGACGCATGAAGAGCTGTTTAAATTCAGTTCCAACACTGTGGTACTTTTCTCACTCTTCACCAACAACACAAAGTCTCAAAAAAGGTGACGAAAACTCATGCAGCAAAAAGCAGCATCCTCATTTGCCATTCTTGGCTTTAGCACATTGTGGTGTCACTTCTGGTGGCACAATTGTGAGATCTAGTTGGAAAGGGTTGTGCCAGTCAGCTTTAAGTAAAGCACCAGCCGAAACAAATACAAAAGCGCCGGGCTCAGATGCAAATGTCATGTAAAAAAATGTCATTTTCCACTGCCATGGATTTTTGGACCATCATTTGTTTGAAACAAAGCCACATATATCTATGTATAGATGCTGTGCCATTTACCAGGCACTTTCATCTAAAGCCACTTCAGTCATGCATGCTAATTGTTTACACATGGGTGTTCCTGCGGATCGGCGTCCCGTTGTAGAGATCCAGGATTAACATAATGACAGTAACTGGCCCACAGGACAGTCTATCCTTCACCGGGATGACATGTTCACTGTTGACCTGCCAGACAATGCAAGAGTCAGAGTGAAAACAGACCTATCATTAGCACAGGGGCGGGGCTATAGAGCGCTACAGCAGGAAGTGGTTGTTCCTGCTCAACTTAAGAATCTTCCCCAGTCTCTGCTTGGCGGTGGCCATCCCTTTCTTAGGACGTTTTCCTGAGGAAAATAAAATGTTGTTACAGAAATGAACAACAAAGGATGAAACAGCTATGCTAATTTCAGCTACTGACTAAAGAAAAGAACTCCGTGGTCAAACCTTTGGTTGCCTGATTACTAATGGGCGGGGTGCTTGGGGCGGGCCTCTTAGAGGGGTGTAGGTGCGGTGATGGGGAGTTCTCACAGTACTGGTACTCAGAGCCGGGTTCTAGCTGAATCCGAGTGGGGCTCCGGTCCCCCCAGGACTCACTGCTGTTGCTGGTACTGCCACTGCTCTGACTGTCCCTGAACTTGTGGGTCTCCTGGATCCTCTGACTGAGTTTGGCACAACATTCCTCATGTACATGAAGTTGGGCCCTTTGCTTGTCCTAAACGAATCAGAGAGATTTTACTTTAAATTTCAATCAGTCATTCCGAAGAAATAAGTCTTTAGTGAAGAAGATTAGTCATTGACGTTGAGAGCTTGTGAGCCTTTCAATAGTACGATCAGTCTTAAAGGAGTAGTTCAGCAGCTATTTTCTTGCTTTGTTAGTCATTTTTAACATCTACTACAACCTTTAACTAACTCTAACTGCCGCCAGCTAAATGGTGGTGCACATGTCTAACTAAATAAGGAGTGACTTTGATGGATTTCAGGTGATTTTGTCACCGGTTACGGCCAGCTCCATTATCTCCACAAACGTCAGAAGGCGTTGGAATGGCTAGCGACTGTAGTTGTTGTTGAAAGAACTGAACTTTTAGCATACTTTCTGGGGTGAGGCATCATCTATCATAATTTAGTAAAACAGTTACATACTCCTATGACAGAACCGTCTCAGCACGCACGCACGGACACATCGTCCTTGACTCATCCTACCTGATTGCTCAGTGTGGAATTGCTGTCTGAATCCTGGCTCTCCTCTCCTGACATGGGCCCTTTCCCTCCTACGGGAACAAGCACGGGAAACAACAATTTATCTACTGTTGAATGAATTCGGGCTTCAATCAAGTAATCTTTGTTTTTCGATTTCTGGACGGAAGCATACCACTGCCAGGGGAGCAACGAGCCGGGCTGGACCACCAGGGCTCCTGGGCCGTGCTGCTCTCCTCCGGTCGCTGAGGATACAGCAGCCCTGCCATGGACAGCATGCCCTCAATGGCTTCTTCTTCTGTGGTGGGCGATGCAAGTTCTCTGCAAAAACAACAAGGAGGAGTTGGTAGCACAGTGGTAGAGTGCATGCTTTGTATGTATGATGTGGGTTCGATACCAAGCTTCACCCCAGGTCGCCGTTAGAAATGAGAATGTGTTCTCAAATCGGCCTACATGGTTAAATTAGGTTAAATAAATAAAATGAAAAACATCTAGTAGCTTAACCCAGTGGACTTTCACGACACGATGCGTATATAATACTTGGAAAAATGTTTTCTTTGTACGAGCCTCTCAAACCTTTTGAGTGGTTTCTGGAAGCGGCTGAGGGACTGGCTGATCTGGTGCTGGTAAGGCAGACTGCTTGTGTCTCTCTCTGTTCGACACTTCTCATCCTCTTCTGAGCTCCCCATATGTTCCCCAGAAGAGTCCTTTTTCTGCGCACAGTCATGGCAGTCATTTTTATAATACTGGTGATTTATACAGGAAGAATTAAATTGTTGAATATTAAAATGGTATCATAATCTGTTCATAAGGCGAAGTGCTTATGACGGACTGCCATTGACAAAAGTCTCAACTGATGAGGGATTAATTCTCTAGTTTGGGAACAGTACCTTTAATCTGTATTAATTCTGTCTGTAAATCAATCCTTTTTCTTTTTAAACACGTTAAAATTAACACACTGCTAATATCTTTCCAAGGTAAAGAATGACACCGATTGAAATGGGAGTGCTTTATCTAACTCTACGGTCCGGCTTTACAATGTAACCCCCTCGGTGTGAAGGTGAGCTTTGAGTCTTAAAACGGATGATTTACCTTCGTATTGCAACACTCCTCAGACTCAGAATCGGAAATGTCGGAATACACCGCAGCTCCTTTCCTGAGAGCAGAATTCACCTTTTCAAAAAACTCTGAGGGAAAAAAATACAAAGAACAAAGATAAAAATGAAGCATCTCTGCACCGGAATATTAAAGGGGAGTTCTGCATTTATAAATGAGCCTACCTAAACCGTTGGTTGACAACTGGTGATTTGACCAGTTGGACTCACTGCTGAGGTGGTTGTTTTTCCCCTCACTCTCTGGGTGTCTGTGCGGTTCTTGTCTGCTGTCATTAACCTCTGTGTTCAGCAGGATCTCTTCCCTCTGGTGGTCACCAGTTCTCTCAGTGTCCTGCACTGAGATACTTTTCATCCTGGTGTGACAACGCACATCTCTGACACACACACACACACACCACACACACACACACACACGTCAGAAAGTCGTTAAAGTGGGCGGTGCTTAAGCCCAGAGGCAATCAAACCTTACAATTTGATAGTAAAAGCTTTTATTAAGGCTCCAGTTTGTGATGTAAATTGGCAGTTGAATCATTTCTAGGTGACATGGTGGAGGTGGTACGTCTTGACATGTTTCAGCTCTACAAGCCAACTCTGAGTAACACATAAACACTCCAGCCAGTGAGATCAGCAGTACATTAATCAGGACTAAACATGGAGGCTGAGGAACCCCAGGCACCAGATCCTCTGCTCGTTCCCAAGTATGGTGAAATGTAGTGTTGAGGCAGAAGGGACAACGGCCGTCTTCCACCCAGCTCACCTGATTATCTGTCCGTTACACATCACCAGACAGAGGTTGTTTTCCAGGCTCCTCTCCACCGCTGCGGCAGACGCCACAGACGCCTTGTTGAATTTGGCCAACGCTGTGGAGCAGAACGGCGCCTCCTTCGACGGGGGCAGAAACAAAGAGGTTTCAAAAGAACGCCGGCTGAGGGAGAGGAGATTACCCAGGAGGAGGTACACGAAGTCAGACCCAGCCCGCACGCTCCCTTACCTCCTCAAAGGGTCCGACCTCCAGCTTCTTGAGCACCTGTCGCGTGTGCAGCTCCAGGATCTCCAGGTTGGACGGGGTCTTGGGCGCGTGATGATGCCCGTGTTGGTGTCGTAGTCGCCGGGCTTTCCTGCGTGCCAGGTGGCTAGCCTGGTCCAACGCGGAACGTGTCAGCGGCCACGCTCCACTTCCCTGAGATTTCATCGGCTTGCCACCAACACCACCACCACCACAGCTGTGCTGCTCCTCCTTCGGTTGCGAAAAGACTCCGGTCAGTTCAGAACCACAACACTTCCGTGAAACACAGACGGCTTTTGACCTGCGACTCATTTAAAGGAAACTCCTACTTTTACTTATCATCAAGCACAAACATTTAAACCAGCTCCAACCATGACGTGTCGGTGCCCATGTGAGGCACATCAAGCTTCCCATCGATCTTATATTCTCACAGAACAGCCGGAGCCCCCCTCTTTCTCAAGCTCACTGCCCCCACCCTGGACCTTACCGCCAGGTAGCGGATCTCCTTTGTGAGTTCTTTAATCAGATGGTTGGGTCTGATATGGTCCGGGACCTCCACGCTGGCCGGCTCTGAGACCTGAGGAGAGGCACAGAGCAGATGGACAATGAGGGGTTTGTCCTGCACGTCCGCAGATGGCGGTTACAGTTTCCTAGGCAGGAGACATCGTGACACCACGTGGAACATAGCCCGGCCCACATAACATAAGGAGCCCAATGTACATTACATTAGTGTCTAGATTCTGTAGAGTCAAATGTTGCACAGACAATAGAAGCGGATTTGCCATCTTTAATCGGACTTCTTGTACCTCACGTTTCAGCCAGTTCTTCAGCGCCACAATCAAGGCTTTCACTCCGTCCGTCAGGTAGGCTGGAGGCTGGCAGTTATCCTCTCGAAACTCTGAGTCAGCAATGATCGGACAAGAATGTCAAAACTGCACAGGAAGTCTCAGAAGACCGGAACGTCGCCAAAACATTTGCTGCTAGTTGTATCACATCTCACCTTTTAGATTCTCCAGTAGATTCTTGGCCACATACCAGCAAATAGCCTCAAAATAAGGGAATTTAAACAGGTCTGGAGTCTTTAACCGCCGCTCCATTTCGTAACACCTGTAGTTGACATTACAATGCTAAGACCCATTCCCCTGGACACAGACATCAGTTCAATGTCTATATTAGCATATATATATATATATTTTTTTTTTTAAATAAATAAGTTATATAAAAGTTGTCAACTTACATAGATTCTAATTTAAAATAAGATTTGTGTGTGTTTGTATGTTTAAATTCTTGTCAGCAATAAAGACATAAAAAATGTAAATCAAATTTTTTACTGAAATGATTGATTATTGCTCCACGACAACGTCTTTAACCACACACGGTCATCTGAGTATTTAACTATACATGGTCATGTGAGCATTTAACCAAACACGGTCATCTGACTATTTAACCATACACAGTAATCGGAGTATTAACAATACACGGTCATGTAGGGGCAGTATGTGGGTGATCACCTGAGCTGCATGCCTATGTTGAGGTTATGAAGAAAGTTCCCACCAAACGCCATGCAGTCCTGAGAGGTGAGAACAGCATGGATCCATCCTGAGCACCACAAGCAAGAATCAATTGTTGACCCACAGATGAGAAGCCAAAGACAGGCAAACACTCAATACACACGGTCACAAAATGATTTCACTTCGCAATCCCTCTGAAATGTGCTTGGCACACTAGAATCACATTAGGAACATTTTAGAATCCTTGTTCTTTCAGCCACACGTTTCAGACACATGTTTCAGACACATGAAATAGTTGAGGCGGCAGATCACAAATGCTGAGGCGATATCATTCCACGCAGCCGCAGCACACCCACTAAAATAATCCCTGCCTTATCACTGAGCCGTGGTGGCCCATGCAGATGACTGGAGTGGTGTAAGTGACTACACAGGTGGTTTGTCCAGGCTGAGTCCATTGTTTTCACTCTCATCTGTATCTTTCACCTACATGATCGTTGTTTTTTTCAGTAAAACATCTTCTAATTTACGGCCATGCTATTATGTAAGTCACTCGGCATATACTGGGAACAGCGTGGATTTGAGGTGGGTCTGTAAATAACAGCAGGTGTAAGGACAGTGTCACGTAGTGTTGGTCTCCAGTCACAACAGAGCAGGACCGTTGGCGGTCTCACAGTGGAACACACAAATCAGGCCTCCCTGAAGACACAAAGGCAGGCTTCGCTGGTCAGTGTCAAGTGGAAAAGCAGCTCTGTGGCTCTTTATGGCTCTTCTGTTTTTATAATGCCCTTGTGTCTCAATAAAAAAGCAAGTTGCCACAGTAAAGCAATTAAAATACTTAAACTTACAGTATCTTATTAAAAATGCCCAGTTAAAACATGTGTTTGGAATAATACATAAAAATTGTGAACATTAAAATAATACAAGTTTAGCGCTCAAGCTAATTAAGGCCATTTGACATTTCTTCATTTTCATATAGGTGGGGTGGAGTTTTGGCCTGCCTGGAGTCATCACCAGGCGGTAATTTCACCAACAGATTGATTGAGTTACAAACCTTACTGCAAATAACAACTAGTGTTCAACTTACATCACCTCACACAGAACACTCTATTACAAGCAAAAGACTTGATTGTTGACCACGAAATACTTCAAAATGGAGAAAGAAAATCCTGCAGGAAAAAAAAAAAGAGACTGTTGCATCAAGGTGGGTTCTCCTCACCTGTGGGAATGAGAACCGTGGTTCCTTGGCGCACCACACACTTGTAACACTTGTCCACCTTGTCCCCGAAGAACACCTCGCTCTGGTTGAAGGACGAACTCCACGCCTCGTATAGTGCAAGGTTCGCCTGAGTCGGCTCGATTAAGTAGAAAATCTTCTCCCCCTTCAGGACACAGACGCAAACGTCAGACGACGAGTCCAGGTTCAAATTAGCAATTAGCAACAGCGACATGTACAGGAGCGTTGTGAACTGGTGTGCCAGGCTGTAGTCAGAGGTCCCACAGTAGGCTGAGAGGTGAGTAAAGTGCATCATCGTCACATGGAGGTTAACCAGTGTGTAGCAGCTTATTCCAAACGGGCCCCATGCATTGCAGAGAGATACACTTGGTTTATAAATGTACTCGGCGTGACGCAGTCGGTGCTCACCGCTCGTCTGTTCTCTCACATATTCAGTCTCATGCATTCTAGCCATGCGGGAAGCACGTGCACGCACGAGTGTGCACGGGTGAGTATGCGCCAGTATGCACAAGCCATTTGTGCCGCTAGAAGAGTGTGGTTAATTA